TTTTTTTTTTTTTTTTTTTTAATGGCAATTCTAGTTTTGGCCACTGTTACTCCACTCTGATTGCTGCCTGTTTTTTGTTTTATTTTTAATCTTTAATTTTCCTAATTCTTTTGTTCTGATAACGTGCTTTGGATTTTTAACATTTATGGACTAATTCATTGTAGATTAAAATACTAGGAACATTTAAACTATGGATCTTGCTACTAGGGATTTATCCTATATATTCACCTATGTAAACATAAAATAGTATAAAGTCTGTCTTTGTAACACTGTAAGAGCAAAAGACTGGAAACATTCTAAATGTCTGTAACTGGGATGGTTAAATGAACTTGCAGAAAACTAGCAGCACGTTCAAGGAACCTTGATACCTTGTGGAAGCTGTAGGGCAGAGGTGGAGAGGAAAGGGTTTGAAGTATATTATCTACTGTTTGGTACCCATGTAAATATAATTGGTTTTGATTAAGTGAGGTAATTATTATTACTTGGCTGTATTGCAACATGTGAAATATGATTTATCACAGAGATAGAAAGAAGAGAATTGAAAAACCAAGAAGATTTAGCAGAAGTTTAAGCCGAACTCCCAGTCCACCTCCCTTCAGAGGCAGAAACACAGCAATGGATGCACAAGAAGCTTTAGCTAGGAGGTTCGTATGTTTTCTATTGATGTGTTTTTCATTTTTTTCAACTGGAAGTAGATACTCAATTGTGTGGACAAAGTGAATGGTTTCAGAGTATAAGTTAAATGATTAAATCTAGCTATGCTATTGTGCCAGCTCTGTGATGTAGAACTAATAAGTAAGTAATTTGTTAATTCTCATTTTAAACATTTACCAGTTTGTCCAACTGGAGAGATTACAATGTCTGCAACAGTTTGTTTTTTTCCCTTCGTGATTAACTGTTTCATTTTTCTCAAATTTAGGCTTATAAATACTTTTGGTTTGCAATTGAAACTCTTAAAAACTCTTAAATTTCGCCTCTGAAATTGCTTAACATTGCAAGGTGATTTATTTGATCTTGTAAATTTTACTGCTGATAGCATGAGATTGTTGTATGGTTTAATTCTGAAATAATGTCAAAGATGTTCTGATAATTGTGGGATGACACACAGTAGGGCTGTCTGGCCAAAGCGTGCAAAATCATTGAAAGAACTGCCTTATAGAGAGAGGGAAGAAGTAAAGTAAAATCCAAGTGCTTGTTTGCAGGTTTTCCCATATTCTGAAAACTATACTTTTGATTTGGGGTTTTTTCCCTTATGAAATTGAGTTTGTATTTTTTTTTTCATTACAAAAATACAGTTATCACAATGTAACCTGATGGGCTGCTGCCCTGTGAACCCAGCCTGGCAGAAACTCCAGCTGAACAGCAGCAGCAGCAAAGGTGTGAGCTCGCCCCTTCTTCATTCCATTCACCTTAGTGAATGGTGTTAATTCCAACCTGCAATGGCCATTTTAAATATGCAACCAATAATAGTCAATTATATTTTCTTCCTGAAACTAAAATCAACAAAATTAAGAAGTAATTTAGAATAGTATTGAACTAATCTATAAAGAATAGCCGATTAAGCCTGGCCAGTATTTTTTTAAGCCCTGTATTCTTATTAAGTTGGGTGTGTTCTAATTTGGGGCTTTTATTACTTTTGAAGCTGTTTCTAGCATCTAAAACTATTTTGACTTAAATAATCTGCTTAGTGATTTTCAGATAAATGTATATGAAATAACTTTTTTCAGAATACCAGATTGCTCTTTGGCTAATTTGAAGTTTGAAGGGAAATCTTTGGTTAATAAGAAACTGTAGTATGTAGACCGTTGTTGTTCCTTTTTTAAAAAAATAAGGACGAAATTTTTAAACTCATTTGAAAATATTTTTCACATATGTGGACCAACATTTTAATGTTATCCCTAATCAGCAACTTTTATCCCCAAGGACAAAATCAAGTCTGTACTGTTTCTTTGTTGCATATGTGATCAATAAATGGGAATAAAATTATAGATTGTTATATTCATGTAATGTAAATTTTAGCAATTGTTAAAGTGAATGCCCATTTGCCATCACTGTATTTTACTACTTGTAGTACCCCAAAACAAAATCTTTTCCCTAATTTTTGTCCTTTTATACCAAATTGAAGGAGGAAGGGGTGGCTTTTAACTTATGATTGGGAAATCAGTAATTCTTTGAAGAAAAGAGGCTTCTCTTTCAGGAACTCATGAAGATGGTATTACTTACAACTTGCTATATAAGAAATAGATATTGGCTTGACAGTATGTTTAGTATATGTATGTATTAGTGAATTTAGAGTGAACCAGAACCTGGTTTTCTTTCATTTGGAGATGAATTTATTTATGTTTCATGTTTCCAGTTCAAGACTGAATAATTTTTATTTTTTCAAAATACTCTCCGTGAGAACTGTGTGTTAAAACTATTCCAGTTTTGGGTTATTCCGTGAATTTAAAAATGTTTAAAACAAGTACTGAAATAGTTCTTTTAACTGGCTGATATGTTAAGAACGAATGCTTTTTTTTTCCCATATTCAGATACCAATGTGTTAAATTTAATTTAAAATTCTATATTGTCTAGTGTCTGTACATGTGGAGAAGTACAAAGATAAATAATGGTTTTATATTGAGTGTTATTTTAAATTCAATGCAATTGTTATTGACAGGTTGGAAAGGGCAAAGAAATTACAAGAACAGCGAGAAAAAGAAATGGTTGAAAAACAAAAACAACAAGAAATAGCTGCAGGTAATTTATTTTCTTTATTATGGAAGTGTATGGCATTTCCTTATAGAAAATTTGAAAAATTCAGAAAAATAATGGAAGCAAATCACCCGTGATCTTTGCTAGCCAGCAGTGCACAGTAAACCTTTCTTTGTTTTGGTTAATGTTACTGAAATGTGGACAACTTACTTTTTGATGTTAACTTTCATACCTCATAATTTCTTTGTGCATATATGTTTCTTAATTAGTTGATGGACGTAATTTTGGCAAGTGAATAGTCACTGTTCTTGTTTAAACTTTAGCCGTACTACACGTCTTTTAGTCATGATTTTTGAGAAAATGCAGTTTAATAAAATGGCTAGACCTGGATAAGAAATCAAGACTTTCGACATAACACAAACATTGCCTGATTGAAGATGATCAGAGAGTGCTTGTTGAATTGTATGGAATGTAATCTGGAAGGTGTTTTTTTGTTGACATTTCTAGTCAATTGGTGGTGCTTGAAATTATCTAAAATTGTACAAATTGTTATTTTCCTCAAAACTTTCATAACTGGATTGCCACGATATTAGTAATGGAGAGAACTTTTTAAGCTTATATCCTGGACTGACAGAAAAATACTTAGAACAGTCTGTTCACAGAAAATTGATGCAGTTCCTGAATCAACCACTTAAAATGGAAACACCAGGCATGGCATTTAACCTTTATAGGACTTGGGCTTAGTATTTGTTTTACGTGTGTCTTCCTTAATATCTTAAATACTCGTTTAAGATCAAATAAATGTCTTAAATCCTTTTGTAAGCTTAAAGACTGTAAAAATGAAAGTTTTTAGGGGTGCCTGGGTGGCTTAGTTCAGCATCTGACTTCAGCTCAGGTCATCTCACGGTTCCTGAGTTCGAGCCCCATGTTGGGCTGTTTTTATTGTGTTACAAGTTAGCTACAAGCACCATAGTTCATTTTCATTGAAATCATGAATCTTTTTACTGTTTGTAGAATCCTTACTATTTTCAGATACGTAAAGTACGTATAAAGGATCACATCCAGGAAATCTTATAAGTACGTCCAATAAATTTTTACTAAACTGTTAACTGCTTTATAAACTAACATGCATTTCCTTATTTTGGTGAAAATATTCTGCCTTTTTGTAGATTAGTTCTTACATGTAAACGCACTGCTGTAAATTAGGAGGTTTGCTTTGCTTAGTCTAGAAATCTATACTTCCCTTCTCTTCAGCAGCTGCAGCCACCGGAGGTTCTGTTCTCAATGTTGCTGCCTTGTTGGCATCAGGAACGCAAGTTACCCCTCAGATAGCTATGGCAGCTCAGATGGCTGCCCTGCAGGCTAAAGCTTTGGCAGAGACCGGAATAGCTGTACCTAGCTATTACAACCCAGCAGCTGTGAATCCAATGAAATTTGCTGAACAAGAGAAAAAAAGGAAAATGCTTTGGCAGGGCAAGAAAGAAGGGGTAAGTTCTTTAATTCCTCTTTATTGTCATTTATACCTAATAAGTAGTTGTTTAGAGCAACAGTGGATTGGAAAGGATTGGTTTGGGTTTATTATTCTGCAAACCTGATTGGAATAGTTTAATTTGCCACAGTTACTTAATTTTGGAAAAAGCATGATCTAAGTCCAGTTTTAGGAAAAAACAAAAACAAAAAAACAGTATTCCTGTAAATTTATAATGGGTGAAGAAGCTGCTTCTTAGCTTAAGTTTTTTCCATGAAGGATATAATGTGAAGTACTTCTATTTCTTTGTTTCATTACATTGTAATAGGAACCTTAAAATAATGATAATGATAAACTCCATTGGTAGAATGCCATAAATGCTGTTGTTTCTTTTACAGAGAGATTTAGTAACCTGATAAAAGAGAACCTAAATTTTATGTATTCTAAAAGTTGAGTGTTTCTTAACAGGACAAATCCCAGTCTGCTGAAATATGGGAAAAATTGAATTTTGGAAACAAGGACCAAAATGTCAAGTTCAGGAAACTAATGGGTATTAAGGTGAGTTACATGGTTGGAATTAAAATTCATATTAATGTTTTCAGGTTAACATTGTTCCTCCATCTAAAAGTTATTTCAGTAATGTGTCAACTTTGGGTTCTTTCTGATGCTTTCTTGTTAATGTTCTTCAGATTAATTTCACAGAATTATGTTATCACTAGTTAGTTGACAATACAAATTATTCAATTTAAATTAACATGTTGATTATAACTTGCTTATACCTTAGATGAACCATTTTTAAGATTGTAAGCTTTACTTAGTAAATACAGTTTCCAGGGAGTTTTTTAAAATTTTTCTTTTTTTTTTTTTCAACGTTTCAAGTTTTTATTTAGATTTTTTTTTTCCCCTGAGTAAAGTGTAAATGTACAGGTCCAGTATTAGATTTAATATAACAATTGGGAAAAATTCACAAATGCTCAGGTATTATTACTTAAGGGAATGTGTTTTTTCATCGAAAGGGTATTTGGCTTAAAGCAAGCTGCACTGAACTGGCTGTTTTGGAACAATGCCAGAGGACCTTTGCATCTGCTGCTAGCTTTCCCTGTCCTTTTCTTCCCTCAGGTCCCTGCATCATTCTTGGTTTCTGCTCACATGTCAACTTCTTTATAGTCCTGTCTCACCTGCTTTTTTTTTCTTTTTTTTTTTTTTTAATTTTTCAATGTTTATTTTGAGACAGAGCATGAGCGGGGGAGGGGCAGAGAGCAAGAGGGAGACACAGAATCCGAAGCAGTTTGCAGACTGAGCTGTCAGCACAGAGCCCAGCGTAGGTTTCCTATTGACAAGCCATGAGATCATGACCTGAACCGAAGTCGGATGCTTAACTGACTGAGCCACCCAGGCACTCTTCACCTGCCTTTTTAAAATAGCATATCTCCTGGTCCTTCCCAATACTTAGAACATTGCCTTGTACTTCATACATGCTAAATGGATGAATGGGAGCTAAATAAGGTCAAATCCGTATCCTAAAAAATGTGATTTATCCTAAGTGCTGTCAAGTGAGAAAAACCTTTTTTCTCATCTGTGTTAATTTTAACAATATATTTTTTATCTGATGTTTAGAGCGAAGATGAAGCTGGATGTAGCTCAGTTGATGAAGAAAGTTACAAGACTTTGAAGCAACAGGAAGAAGTATTTAGAAATCTAGATGCTCAGTATGAAATGGCAAGATCACAGACCCACACACAAAGAGGAATGGGATTGGGTTTCACATCATCAATGCGAGGAATGGATGCAGTTTGAAAAAGATCAGACCTACTGTTTGGGACTTTATAGACTTCTGGTTCTGATGTCAGGTCCTTGTTCACCAAACAGCTAGCATTCTAGCTTGCATGGGTGTTGCATTGACTTTAATTTATTGAAAAATACGATTTTTTGTAAATATCAGATCAGTGATACTGGTGTTAGTGTTGTAATCAGGTTAAACACACTTCCATTAAACTTGACAGGACTATAGAAGGACAATATTTTTTAGTTCATGAATTCTACTTTTCAAATATATAAAAGCTGCAGGTGGGATAAAATCTCATACATGGATATTTCGTGTCCGCTGTCTTGTGTACTTTTGTACTTAACCTTGTACAGTTATTTTCATCTCTTGAAACATGAAAGAAATGTTATGTAGATGTTCTTTAGAAGATCTGGCCATTTGGTACATAATCCAGCACAAATAAGCTGGGTGGTGATGATAATAAAAATGGTTTTCTCAAAACTGGTGTTAATTTAAGTTACCTGGAATTCTTATTTGAATTTGTTTGATGGGTTTTGTAGCATTTTGCAATTGCTATTAGAGAACACTAGGTAGAAATTCCTTTTTTTTTTTTTTAACAGTTAAATATGCTCTAGGCAATACCACAGTGAGCAAAAATGTAAAAAGTTGGGAGGAATAACAAACATTAAATTAATACTGTTTTCCTACTACTCTAAGGAACAGAATCGGTGTACAATATTTGTTCAATATTCCATGTTATTCAGGAAATAGATTAATACATTAAAGGGATGTAAGCACTTTTATTTTAATAAAGTGCCTTGTAACAAGTTCTTGGTATGCCCTTTGCTCATTATCCCTTTGAAGTCTTCACTAGTACTAAAATGTTAGAAAACTACTTTGTCACTAAATTAAATAGGGCATAAACAGGGTGGAGGGGGAGAACCGCAGAACTTGTAATTCATTTGCTTTTATTACTACAAAGTCATAATTTTCACCTTTCCCTAGAAAAATTCGTTGGAAAACAACTTTATAATGTAGTAGCACAATACAACAAGGGAAGCATGCTTAATGGTAAAAACTTAACACCTTTTTTTTTTTTTT